TTGTAAACTCAGAAAAATGTTTGAAATAAGTTCCCATAAATTCTTTTCATTCATTTATTTGTCTTTTTTTTGTATGTACAAAAAAATTAATTAAATTTTTAACAGTTTTCCTCCTTCGTTTTCTTCCACAGCTTAAGCCTAGAATATACATCTAAAGTAAGATTAAAAGAAACGAAAAACGACTTGTATACGATGAAAAAGCCCGCAACAATCACTTACAATTGTATCTTTGGTATTTTTCGCTGATCCTGGACATTGACTTAGCATTCTTTCATGACATTTCTTATGTACAGCAGTTAAACACAGTTGGCACTGATAGCCCTGCTTGTTCAGACCCCTTAAAAGACAAAAACCTATAATTCACTTTTTCGCTTTTACAAAAAAATTACAATAAAGTCAGTATAAAAATACATTTTAAAAACAATAAAATATAAGAAAATTCCTTTCACCATTTGGTTTTACTCTTTCCTATAATTATGCGGAAAAAATTCGAATATTTAAATAAATGCTTCTTTTTTTACTTTGTTTTTGCTTTTATTTTTACTTTTTATCACCGTTATCATCTTCCTTAATTTTTTCTTCGCTTTTTGTTTGTTGGTGTTTAACTCACTGACCACATAAAGTCGGAACACAACGAACAGAACGTCGGTTGACGAAAAAATGTAGCCACAAATTGATGCCCACGTATCTCATGCACCCGAGCGTGTTTAATAGCACCACGACGTCTCTGAAGACCTCGGAACTGGAACGATCGAGGTGCATCCTCATCCATTTTCTTCTCACTTTGTTCTGCAAAAAAAAAAAACAAAAAAATTTAATCCAAGTAAATTGCCTCATTTTCAGCAGTCCAAAACAATCTTTTGAAAGAATAACAGCACTAACACTTCCAGCTGCAGCAGTGCCATTAGCAACGGCGATAACCGTTACCCTTATCATACACACTAAGCACAAACCACATTAAGTACTACAAATATCCATTCTTTTTTATTTTTTATTTTTCGTCTAATCAAATCAGTAAGTGTTCCATACAAATTGTTACTGTTACTGCACATAGCTTATTCAACAGTTTTACATTGAAAGAAAGTAAAAAAGTAAGAACTACTGCTAAAAAATTAAAACCAGATAAAAAAAATCAGAATTTTCTCTCCTTTAAAATCTTAGAATATCACTTCCCTCCCACTACCCATTTCGTCCTCCCAATCCTTCTGCCTTGTCTAAAGAAAGTGTGAAATAAAATTACAGGTTGTGGCTAAACGATCTAACTAAACAGCATTGTCTCTTCCTTATTTACGACCACAGTTTCATACCAAAAGTTTCGTTTCAGTACTGCAAAGCATAAACTGTAAATAAATTTTTAAAAACAAAAAAAAATAAAAAAAAGAATAGAAAAGACACAGCAAATGCGGAAGAAATACAAAACTCCATTGCAAAAACCAAAGTTGCATGCTGGCTGAAAGAAAAATGCCAAAAAAACCTAATTGATTTTCCTACAGTCTGTTAAAAGAAAGAGAGAAGATAAGGGGCTGAAAATGGCAATTAAAAGTTGTGTCCTTCACTGTTCTCAGCCAATTTCGTCTATATACAAAGTCAAAACCAAATTTGTTTCCCTTTATTCGGCTCTTCTCCTCCGTAGCCATCGTCTCCTGTACACTATGATGGTTCACTGACTATAATGACGGGTACCCATAGGGCTGCTTACCCAGTGTACATTCACCAGAAAAATTTTGAACCGTCGATGGTCGACAAACACGCCGACTGCATGTCTCCGGTAACTAGGAAGAGCACCACCATCTAAGAACGATTGAAGAAGAAAATCAAAAAGTACTAGACTAGAATGACTGGCCGACTGGCTAGTTACTTCACTAACCAACTGACTAGCTAACTAAATGACTAACTAACCGACTAACTGACTAAATGATGCATCAGTCCACCTCTCGACTAAGAAAAGAAAAAAGTTTTATATCCATTTGTTGTTTATATCCGTTCTTCCTTCTCCTATTCTCTTTCCACTCGATGATTGAAAAATGTTTTAAAAACGTTAATGAAGTTGGACAGCAATGCTTGTTAGTTGATTGTTTAACTATAAAAGTAAACAATGTTTTTTTCGCCCCTTTTGCATTTCTTCGCCTTCCTTTCGGGTATACTCTCCCGAAAATGGCGACAGTGCCTGCAAAAAAATTTGTTCGTTTTTATTTGAGAAAAAAGAATAACTCAATTTGCTTAATTGTTCAGTCTACTAAAAAAGCTTCAAAAAACCGTCAAATTTGCTTACGAAAAATAACAATTATTGTCACTGAAGCATTAAATATATTTGGCAACAAAAATTAAACAGAATATCAATTTTTTTTCATCTTCTTCGTCTTCTTTTTCGTCTTCTTCTTCTAAATTTTAATATACATTCATTACAACCTTAAAAAATTAAAATAAATAAACAGCCAAAAAAAAACTAGAAAAAAAATAGAAATTTTAAAAAAAATTTCTTATTCAACAAACAAACAAAAAAAAAA